CGAAAGTGCCGGACGCCGCATGGCTACCGGCGAGGGCCGATACAGGCAGTAGTCGTCTCGGAAAGCAGTCGTGTTGTGACTGACACATTCGAGCAGTTTCATGTCAACCAACGCTGTCCGATGGCCACGGACTGAGCACGCCTCGTCACCTTCCGCTGCGAGATCATCCAGTCCACCACTTCGGAGCCCACCAGACAGGCGCCGTAGTTTTTCAGCCGGTGCCGGTGGTTGCCAAGCCCGACGCCGTGGATAGGGTTTGTAATCATGTGCAGCAAGGTGGTCAAGTAGGTCAGATCCTGCTCCTGCTCCAGAGGGTCAGAGACGCTCTCGTGCGGATCAACCTGGTCACGGAGACTGGCATCCGTCATGCCGAGACTGTACTTTTTCCTGTGCATCTTGCTGAGCCGCGGAAGAGAGCTGGATCTGTCGCTGCTCAGTTGGTTCGCTGCTTCCAAGTGCGCGTGTACCTTCTCCAGCACCGCATTCTGGTCCACATGCTCGTCGGCGTCTGCGCCGGACGTGATGGTCTGGACGTAGGTCATCACCACCTTGGAGCAGTAGGTGCAGACGCGCAGGTCACCGCTATAGCCGAGCACCTTGCCCGGGATCACCTGGTTACAGCAGCGGGAGCAGAAAATCTGTCCGCAGATGCGGCAGTGGTGGCGGCGTCTGAACGTGGTGAACTTGTCGCCGCAGTCGTAGCACTCGCGGCTGACGGCGTCCGGCAGCCAGTGCTGCTTCAGTTCGCTGTCGCCCGGCCCGCCCTGGCCGCCGGCTCCCAGGATCGAGCTGATGCGGCGCAGCACGCCCACGTAGCTGCGGCCCTCGGTCGAGTCGGTCGCGGACGAGGGCGGCGAGCCACGGCACAAGCTGGTGTCGCTGGCGCGTCGGTGGGAGCGCGGTTCAGAGACGTCGGCGCCGGAGCGCACCGAGACGCGGCTCGAGAAGAGTCGCAACAGACCGCCTCTGCGCGGCACGGCCGCGTCCAGTGATGGCAGACTGGCAGATGTGGTCGAATAGTCGTCATCGGGCCACACTGCAAAGAAAAAGAAATATGAAGAAATTCAGAGGAGATGGATACACATTGTGCATGTAGATATGCTTGGTTAGGTTAGGTTAGACTAGGTTTACCAGCAAGCATGATATCATGAAGGAGATGTAGGAGTGGATGTTTTGGTGCATCTAGTCATGTAAGTAACAATTTTCTGGCATATATGTATGTTTATCTTAAGGACAAGCAAATTTGATTGGTACCTAGTGGATTATTAATTCTTAACCATGTGAGTCAGGTTCAGGCACAGTCAAGAGTAGATTCAATATTGAAATCTTGAAAAAAGACAGATTCTGCTTTTCATGAAGAGTCTGGTTTTCCTGGATATCACCTAAATCAATTATATATGAGCTTTGAACTTCAATCTGCCAATGCCATCAATGCTTCCAGAATCCATTGCTAGAATTTAGAAAAGCTTGGGTTGTTTTGTCATAGCATGATGTCAGAATAGTATGACATGATCAACATGTCAAGGAATTCAAAACTTGTTTGTAAGGTTATGAAAATAGAAGCTCACTAGGGTGACCCGCGTGCTCCGCAACGCGAAAAGGGATATTTTCGATCGGCGGGTGTTCGGTTGTTCTTGTGTCGGTTGGGTTATCTATCCATTTCGGTCGATTGCTTTTTGACGGCTAAACGTTTTGGTTTGTGGAAAAAATCCACCGCATCGAGGTGCCCGTGTCTGATAAGCATGCTTTCCACTTCAGAATCTGTCAAATGTGCTATATAATTGAGGTGCGTAGTTTTAAGACAAATGAAAGGCGTAGATAATTTTCGCTAAAAATCGTTTTGCAGAGGTTTAAAACATTTATATTTTAAAGAATACTGTTGCTTGTCATGCAAACGTGATGATTGGATCTTGGAGAGAATTGAATGCTCTTTCTAATGATAGCATTTTCAATTGTCAAGCGTATCAGGTTAAGCAGCAAATCCCGTGTATCTTTTTAGTGGCACATTATGGACAAATACCATTTTAATTCAGCGATTTTTTCCACATTGTTTTTGATCAATTAGCTTTTCACAATTTTTCCATGAGAGACGGTACATTTTTATTGCTAATAGGCGCTGTTTCAACTCATTCCGTCTGACGATCACCTGAAATTAATATAAATTCCAAAATCCGTTTAAAATGGCACTTTTTGAAATGAAATTGCCCTCACACTTGCACGTGGCGCGTGCCACCCCTGCACCGCACACTATTCGATTGCCCGTTCGATTCTCTACACGATGCTGTTTTCCCCGTGCCGATCGGGCGCACGGCTACCGAGATATTGCACGGGGAACGGACCCGTGTCGGGCAAATTTAGCCATTTTCGCCCGTTTTTGCCAGCCGATTTATACATGTAAAGTCTATGACGCGAATTTGCACTTTTTGGGCACGCGCCACGCGCTCGCTATCGATCCGATCGAGCCGAGACCGCTCAAAGGCACGTTGTCCATCCTTGTTCTATAACTTGCGCAAATTTCAGCGCGGTAGGTGCAACGGTGTGATCTGTAACCCGCGCTACGTAGCACCATGTCGCGACCTTCGTAATAGACAGAAACTACGCCCTCCTCAAATAGTAATATAGATGGCAGTGACTATTCCAATAATTTTGAGATATAGCTTACATAGAAAAGATATGCAATATGCATATAACATGCAAGATACAAAAGGAAAATGAGAAAGAATTACTAAGGTCTAAGGAAAAGTGAATATAAAATAAATATGAAGGCATTGATGATAATCATGGTATTTGCTGCAAATGATTTAACGTTCAGGACATAAAAACATGTAGGTACAAAAGAACCTTGAAGAACCATTGAAAACCATTTGGACCTTATCTTGAATCTTCAGTTTAACCAAAAATGGGTCAGATAAAATCAATTTTCAAGTTTCAAACATAGTCATCAAGTCAAGTCAAGTCAAGTCATACCTAGTCAAGGGCAGGTCAAGGCATGGGAAGCATCACTCAGGAAAGAAGCATTCCATGCTGCAGTTTATGGAAAGTGCAAAATGATTGCATTCCTGGTTCATACCTTGAATACAAAAATAGATATTGTTTCATGTGTTGCCCAAAAACAAATATGAAAGTTACGTAGCTATACTGGTTCACTTAAAGTGGAAAGCAATGCAGTAACTTACTTTCATCCATCTTGATCTCGACAGCTTATTGCAGCCAAGCCTTTAAAATTAACTTTCCAAAAATTACATGATAAAAAATTATCACAAGAGTTTTCGAACATCCTAATTTTCCCAAACCATGCTTTTACAAATGTCATCCGTCCAAAATGTAAGCAAACATTTAACACACATTTAACACCTTTGCCTTAAGAAAAAGCGTGTCTAAGGAATAAATGTATCTAGCCACGTATCTTGGTAACGCATTCTTGCTTCAGTTAATCAGTTGCTACTTACTGATGGAAAATCAAAATAGGATCCAAACTCGGATCGAAGAGGAGGCGGTCGCAGTCGTGGCAGTACACCTGCACTCAAGGCTGCGCTAGTCAAATGACTGCCCGGCCAGGTAATGGATCCATTAAGAAATTACTAAAATATTGACATAATTATGTGCCTGCCTTGCGGCAGATCAAGATAAATGAATTATCGACAGACGAAATCACAACGAAATACGAATGCAAACTAAGGTGTCTGGCAAAATGATTGCTACTTCAGAATCGTCTTTCTTGCGTATGTTTTGTAACAATAATATTGAATGGACACCTCAACCAAATTAATCGTGGTTATCAATGGCTTACCCGATATCTCTATGATTGAATAATGCATTTCTGGAAGGTACTTAGTGTAAAACCTACCCTTAAAAAGATTTTCTGCACCTGCATCTCGCCTCTGTCATTCGCTTAGCCATTTCACCTCAAGCTTTTGTTTCTACCTTAGAAAACACCTGATTCCTAGACACACCGCCAAAGCACACCTAAATCCGTTTTCCTAGCACATCGGAGCTTGCATTGCACGAGCGGCCAGGACCCTCTTTAGCTATAGCGTGGCAACTAATTTGATCTGAATGCAACTGAATCAATTAAATCCCATTCAATTCGGCGTATGCAGTGTAACCTTTATGTCTAAAGAATAATGCATCCTGTGACCCACTGACGGTCACCACCACTCCATAATTGTAATTTCGCTGTTTGCTGCGATCGTTGGAATCATTTCTTCGCAAGCTAACCTCTACCAATGTTCCGCATGAGCCCCATATTTACAGCTTGCATTAACGCCCCACACCGTTTCTTATCGTTCTCATTTCGGCCAGCAGCTCAGTGGCAGCCAAATGCCAGTTACAGGGTTGCTTGAAGCAACCCTTTTTGGTGGCAATTTATATGCCACACTACTATGGATTAATATACTCGCGAGTTAATACCAAGTCCGTTACATAAAAAATAATAATTCCAGGCGAAACGAGCATTGGGGAAAATTCACCAGTATGAGAGGTTGCAAACGAATGATAAATTGGTTTAATAAGTACATGTATTCATCTACGAACTTCAGAAGTCTCATTAATCTGGAAATTAAGAAAAACATTACATGCGTAAAACCTGACTTGACACTATGCTTGAAAAAAACTGAATGATCCATCTTTTTTAGAACTGACATGCTTGGCAAGTGGCAAACAATTCAGCATTGATGAGCCAAATCTGCTTATCGGATACGACTCACCCCACCCAGCAGGATAGAGGCACTTTACTCCGATCACGGAGAGGATGGGACTAGACAATGGTGAGGTTGGCTCCACCGCATTTTGTTTTCCCACGCCTCAGAAGCAGACGGCAGCAGCACCGAGCACGTCCCTGAACAGCAGGGCGAGTCGGCTCACTCCTTTTGCCGGAGGGAGGCGCGACGTGTCGGTCGGTTCGCGGCGGCGCTGCCACGGTCGGCAGGTGAAGGCGACTCGCGGCGATGTCACCACTGCGTGCTCGAGTGCACGGATACGATCCACTCGGCGCTCTCCGGCGGCGTGATCGAGAACCATCCGTGGCCGCCCGGGCCGCGCTGTGGGTCCGATGTGCTTCCGTACGCCTGCACGTACTCCTGCACCTTGTCCCAGTTCGCATCGGTCACGCCGGTCACGTGCATACGGGCGCTAGCAGTGTCCTCCGTGACCTGATGGGACGCCAGGCTCGGAGCAGAGGGCGCCGACTGAAAGTCAGCACCGCTCACAGACGAGGCGGCCGTAGAGGACTGACTGGCCGACTTCGGCCTCTTCCCAGCCTGGCTACCGTTTCGCCCCTCGGGCCTGGTCGTGGCGCTGTCCAGAGCGGCCGTCACCGGTTTCGCCCAGCCCGATGCCCGGGCCGCCCTGGACGAGGAGCGGTCCGGAGCGTCTGCGGCACCCTGCAGAGGAGGAAAGCTCTGCTCATCGAGAGGCGGCGGTCGGGGCCGCCAGACACGCCGGGGCTGCCATTCGTCCGACATATCGGACGAATTGGTCCGCTCCTCACAGATGTCTGGGTCGTCAGAGTCATTTCCTAGGTGTCCGAGTAGCCGTGAAGGCCGCCCTTGGGTGTCACCATCAGCTACCGCCGCCGCCGGCAGCAGGGCAGACTCTACGGCCACGACACCGCCGGGATCCAGGAAGTCGGCCAGATTCCAGCCGCCGCGCTGCCCGTCATCCAGATTTACCTGGCCGGTCAGTCGCGGCGGCGGCGTGGCGGCCGTCTCCGGCTCCAGCTCCGAGAAATCGTCGTCCTGAGAGTTGTGCCGCGGAAGGATGTACTGACTGTAGTTGGTCGGCGGCTCGTAAATCGGCAGGTCTCTCCGTACGCGATTTATCTGCTCCTGGATGGTCAGGTTGCTGACGCCGACGTTGGCGAGGTTCCCGGGAACCGGCAGAGGATCGTCGTGACAGCTGAGGCCAGAGGCGCGGCCGCGGCCGCGAGGTCGGCGGGCGGGCTCCGGCGGCGGCCCGTCCGGCGACTGGATCAGGTGACGAGGGATCGTCAACGGCTTAAACACCATTGGACTAACGCCTTCGCCGAGTCCCCAGCGGCATTGCAGAATGGGAATACTGGGCAGCTGGCGATGCACCGCTACCTCTTGGTCCTGGCTATCTCCCGGAGGCGGCGACATCCCAATCGAACGATGCTCTCTGAAAATAAAGAAAGTTTGTGTCATCAAACCCATGCTCCGTTCCCATACTCTATTTCGAAATTTCGAAATTCCCAAGCATTTCGAAATTTCGAAGCATTTCGAAATTCAGCATGATCATCCACATTTTTGAAGTTTTCTTTTCACGACGAACGCTAGCGTCTGGTCACGCTAGCGTCGATGGGCTGTTCAATATTCATGTTTTCATGTATGAATTTATCAATTATCATGCTTGAGTCACCCACATCCACCACAGACAGCACATTTTATCAGACCCAAAAATAAACGAAGAACAAACAAAATAATTTTACAAAGGTCGTGAAAGATTGTGATTTCTTGAGATTTTAAGTAACTGGCCTTGGTGAAAAAGTCAAATCATGCTTCTAAAAAAACGTTTATTTTTTACGTTTTTTTTTTTTTTACTTTGTTATACATGGTGTCACTCAGTGGTGTGAGGTCAACCCGATCAACCTGACTTAGTGGCTCAAGGAAGAGAGAAAACTCAAATTGAGTTGCCAAATCGAATGGTTTGCAGCATGAACTCCCTCGGACAGCTCCTGACCTGGAGACTCGGCCTTTGACCAGACCTTGACCTGAGGTCAACATACGCCTCTGTCATTCGGGAAAACTGGGCAGTGGGCATGATAACAGATATGTTCCCAAAGTCGTTGCTCTGCAGCCATTTCAGCGGACAATGAATATTATTTACCAACGACCGGACTCAAACTTTTTTTCTGACCTTAGTTAATCCGAGACCTTAACCCGCGCCCCGCTGGGGGGGGGGGCAGAATCTGCCCCCTCCCGTTTTTCGCCAATAACTTCTAAACGCGTTATGCCAGCGACGCCAAACTTTCAGTACCTTATCATACATCAATTTAACACGTTTCCTGAATATTTGAGCGAAATCCGTCGGGAAAAAAATTGGAGAAAACGACGTTTAAGTGACGTCATGACCACCATTTTTTCGCCGAAAAAAAAAAACAGCAAAATTTCAAACGCCGCCAACATCTTCATTTTTAAAGGAATCAAGACGTAACAAAAAGGCTATACGTGATTCTACTTTGTCTATCAAATGGGTATCTCGTTTTTTTATAGAAAATTTTGGATTTTGGCCCAAATTTTTCTTCTTAAAAAACTGACTTTTTTGGGAAAATAATTATAAACCCAAAAATTTTAGTTTATAAAAAAACGGAATATATGTCAGAGAAGCGCTCTATGTGCACCTACATACCAAATTTTAGAAGAATCTTTTCAAAAAATGGGGAGTTATTCAAAATCCTATGACGTCACGACCCACAATTTTTTTTTTAAAAATGTTTTTTTTTTAAGTTATAGACCTCTTACGGAAACCAAAACAGCACCATTCGATTCGCCGTGAAAACTGCATCAGATAGACACCTTTTTAGGTCTTAACAGCCAACTTCAAAATTTGACCTCACTTGACCTAACCTTAACCTGACTTCGACCTGAATTCATCCAGATGTGGTCCACATCACTTATTGAGTGTGCGTATTGAGTTCTATGAATAAAATGACCCATAGGTAAAACATGTGTCGCACCTGCCCTTTTCCATATTTAATTTTTGTTGACCTGACCTGACCTTGACCTTTGCATGATATTGTATGCAACGAATAATGTCTTGGTAGCCTAAGAAGTCAATAGCCTCTTAGTGTCCAAAGTTTGAATCATATGCTGATATTTTTTGTGCAAAATCAAAAATACCGGCATGCTACCGGTAAGACATGCCAGATACCACGAAAAAACCTGCGGCAGTGAAAAATTACCGGCGTGCCGGTAGTGCGCTAGGGAAATTTTGCAACTCTACTAAGAACACGTTTTTGGGCGATCAGTCTCAGGCCATCTTCGGCAACTACGGTGCATGGCCGATACTGTAGAAACTTGCATTCTGTACCCTTGACCTGACCTTGACCTGACCTCTGACCTACTTAAGCAAAAAAAAAAAACGCTTTTGAGTTCCGCCTTGTTGAGAGCTTTCGATTGCCGTTTTCCTCGTCTTTCTATGACCATCGGTTCGGAAGTTAGACAAGGGGGCAGAATCTGCCCCCCCCCCCAAGCAGGGCGCGTATGGCTGAATAGCCCAGCGGGGCGCGGGTTAAATAAAGTAGCTACCGTTCCATACGCCTCTAAAAGGTGCATACACCCAACTTTTCCGCGAAGCTCAGTTAGGGACGGACGCAACGACCAAGTGAAAATGTGCCCGCCCCATCCTCGGTCAGGCCATCTGTTGATAACCGATTAGTCCGGCGAGGGCTCATTCACGAAGAATCCTCCACAGTTTCGTGAAACGCTTGCAACAAAAAAAAAACACCTTATGCTGGTGCATGGTGAGTGGTGACAGCTGGTCATATGGTTCATTGAGTACAGCAGAGGGACACCACATATCATGAGGTAAACATAAATACCCGAGTACCTACGCATTAACCCGCGCCGTGCTGGTGGCCTGAGTTTTCCGTGTCGTGCTGGGCGGGGGGGGGGGGGGGTTCCCCCTCCCGTCTAGCTCGGCTCCTGGGCCACCTAGCGACACGCGGTAAGCGGCAATCGAAAGAGCGTCAAAAATAATAGCGGAAATACCTCAGTCATTTTTAAGGTCACGTCAAAGGTTAGGTTACCAGAAGTCTTCAAAGGTCAATTTTGTCTATTTCAACAATCGAAACGCCCGACGGCTAACTCGGGAACCAATAGAGCTATAGCGCTGCGGAAAAGTGCATTCGATAGCTCTTTCAACACCATTTCGCCCACATGTCCTCAGATTTGACCTCAGGTCAACGGTTTAACCTCCGGAGGGCAAAAACTAAAAGTAATCGTTTTCACGAAAAAAATGTTTTTTTAATAACTTTTGATTCAAGAGAGCCATGACATTACTTTTGCCAGCATCATGTTCCTCTCGTCGAGACGCGTCGAATGAACTTAAAGTTGACCTTAAAAGGTCATTTTGAAAATTTCACCTCAGGTCAAGGTTATGACCTGACCGGAAGGGGTCAGCTTGCATATCAGTCGATCCGTATCATCACGCTGAACACATCTAAAGTGTTTTTCACCACTAATTTCATCGATAAAAAATATTCACCGGTTTTCAAGATATTAGACTTTTACTTTTCTTTACTTTTTGGGATCTCCGCTGTTCCTAGCAACTTTATTTGAAAGTGCGGCATTTGTTGCGCGCAAAGCAGCATATACCACCGCGTGCTACAAAACGTTTTAGTCAAACATTTAACGGACGTTCGAAAGCCTGATGACGTCACCAGATTCCCGTAATGGTTAAGAGATAGGGACCACGCTGGTCCCACCCTGCAAGTAAAGGGAAGAAATTTCTTGAACACCATAAAGCTGCGGGGGTTGCGACCAGGATAAATGGTGGTTTCTGAGCCTGGCCGCAAACTTGGCTATCTCGACTCAAAACTAATGTTAAGGTGGGAGGGTCCCTTTAACGTGGCCCCTAACGGGGCGTGAAAACGCCCACCCCCCAGCACGGCGCGAGTTAAATATTCTCCCGGTGGCCCGGCTAAGCCCGGACTAGACGAGCGGGTTTGTTAGGCCAGGTTGTTAGGCCTATCAGTACCATGCCAACAGCACGAGTACCTCAGTTCGTGCAAGTTTTCTTTTAAAAAAGCACAACTACCTTCTATACATTGTAGATCCGTTCACATCAAGGTACTTGTTTATTGGAGCAAAACAGAGGGAACACGCATACGATAAACTGTGGGTAATGTGTACATATTAATCATTTTCCACTTTATGAAGTGCATGTGCAATACGCATGTGCGATGTGGATGACGCGGATGACGAGAAACTGAAAAAGCGATTGGGTGACTAGAGTATTCCACGACTTTGTCATTCGTTCAAAGTGAGATCTACCACTTTGAGAAACTCCTCTTCTGAGATCTGCAGCAGTTTCGCACCTTCCAAGTGAAGCTTCTGTCGTTGAGCACATCGATCAGCTTCATCTGCTTTTTGAATCCAGCAATTAGCTCTTGCCGCTGCTTGTCGAGCTGCTTGTTGGAGCTTTCCAAGGAGGCCACCTTTTCTTTCATCGCCTCAGCTGAGTCCCTAGCTCGCCTCTTCTCGGCTTCGAGGGCAAGCTTAAGTTTCTCAACGTCCTCGTTCGCTCTCTTTAGCTTTATTTCTGTCTGGGAGTTTGATTTGCATGCTGCCTGTGCTTCTTTCACGTTGTTTTCTGCATCTCTTTTCCACGAGACGCACTCACTTCTGAACTTCTGCACTTCATTGTTAGCATCATCCAGGGCCTTCTTCAATCTGCTGATCTCTGCAGCCTGTTTTTGCGACCCTGAGATGACACTTTGACCTTCTCTCTCAGAGACTTTCAACTTATCGGAAAGAACGTTATTCTGCTTCAGTAATTTGTCATACTGCACCTTGAGACGAGTGAGCTCGGCTTTTGTCACTCGTAGCTTTGCTTGATACAGCCGCGCCTGCGCTGCGCTACTCAGATTCTTTGATGCGATCGACGACGCGCTCTTGCTATTTGGCTCATCGTTGGCTTCAAGACAGTCGAATGCCTCGACGAGGCTGTCGTCTGTGTCTGAGCCATGGTCAGGTACGAGGGCATCCGTCTTTGGCTGCAGCGTAACCTGGTATGGCTCGCCGAGTTTACAAGGCAGAACTGGGTCCGGCTCGTCATCGGCAGTCATTTTCGCTGTCCCTTGTCTCACGTGTTTAACCGCAGGTAGCTCTAATGAATCTGACACATCGGTCTGATCTTTGAGCGCTTTTTCCGCTTGTGCGATTAAGGATGCTGCCTTTGACTTGAGTGATTCATTCAGTTTTCTGTAATACTCCTCCTTGTCTCTCAATGCCGCGTCATCAGATTCGTCCATGGCGAATGTCTTATTGTCTTGCTGTCGCCAATGAGCCACCTGTCAAAAGAAGGCAGGCCCAGCGTCCATTTACGTAGCAATGCTCGTGACACTGTGGCTGGTTCCCTCCTCCAGCCCGATTGCAGGCAAGACACGGAAACGGCCG